ATTTGATATTTTTCTTGTTCTTTATGGTCGATCCTTCGAAACTAAGTTTGGAATTGTAGGCTGTTTTGTATTACACAAATGTTTAATTTTTGTGCATGTAACATTTTTGAGGTAAATGTAAAGTAGATGGTTACTGCTACAGCGGTTGACATGGCTTTTTAAAGTTGTTAACTTTTCAGAACTTGCATAAATACGTTTCGATTCCACGCCTCACCTGTGCCTTACGCGACATTGCCGCCGCCGCCATGAGCAGTGCAGCTCTGCCGAAGGTGTTAGTGTTGACAAAGAATATTCCTGCACCCGCACTTGAGCTGCTGTCGAAAAAGTACGTGATGCTCGATTGATCTTCGGTAAGAGTTCATTAGCGAGATTTTATTTGTTTAACCGCGAATGGAAACTGGTCAGGTTGGACTGGTTTCATTTAAAGGCAAAAACAACAGTACTGACAAAAGCGTAACCAGGACGAAGAAGATAATGATTATATATAAGTGCAACGTGATTCCCTGGTAAGTGACACACAGTGTAGTATCAGATAGACAGGTAAAAAGACCTACCGTCAACATTTCCAGATTTCTGAGATAGATGGTACGTTCTGAATGGGTGTAATGACGGATTCATGCTGAAGCGGGTATCACGGAATTCCTGCATAGTTCATTGCGTACAAATATTAAATAACTTAGGGTTATTTTAAAGTTTATGGGCTTTAATTTCTTGAAAATAGTTGCGATTTTAGCTTTGGCACAAAGTGATGGTTGACTCCAATATCGCCATAAAAATAATGTTACATAAAGACATTACTGTTGAAGTGGTAGTACGCCTAATACCTAATATCCCTTGCTTCTAGAGGCTAGGAGGCCTTCAAACTGACCAGAACTGAATTGAATTTTGCCATCTGCGACGTATAGATGCATAACAGCAGCATAGTGATGGCTGAAACGACATTACTGTTTTTGCCACCAGCGGGAAGTTTGTGGTTCGAGCAACATACCTGCTCATTATTCCAGCAGAGATGTTTTTACACATGTAGGCACTGCTCCTCCAAGATCTGATTTTGCGATGTGTCACACGCCTGTTTTTTTCTAATCAACCAGGAGAACATTTCGCCAAATCCAGG